GAGATGGAGTCTCACTCCAGGCTGGAGTGAAGTGGCACGGATCTTGGCTCACTGCAACTTCTGCCTCCTGGGTTCAAGCAATTCTCCCTGCCTCAGCCTCTGGAGTAGCTGGGATTACAGGCACCTGCCACCACACCTGGCTAATTTTTGTATCATTGCCAAATCAAATGTCATAAATTTTGCCCTGTATTTTCTTCTAAGAGCTGTATTATTTTAGGTCTTACATTTAGGTCTTTGATCCATTTTGAGTTAGTTTTTGTATCTAATGTTAGGTAAGGATCCAACCTTATTCTTTTGTGTATAGATATCCAGTTTTCACAATACAATGTATTGAAAAACTATTCTTTCCCCATTGAATGGTCTTGGCACCTTTGTCAAAAATCATTTAATCATATATATGAGAGTTTATTTCTGGGTACTCTATTCTAGTCCATTGGTCTATATGTCTGTTTTTATGCCATTACCATGGTATTTATGACTCCCTCTGTCCATAGTGGTTCCTGGGTCCAGTTTTATAGAACCCAGGAGCTGAACTTTTCTGTTTTAAAGGTGGAAGTACAGAAGAGCATCACAGAAGTTGGTCAGGAGCTGACAGAGCTGGGGGAACGGCTTGTAGACATTGTCAGGAGCCTGCAGAGTCAGAGGCCCCTCTCAGAATCTGGACCAGACAATGAACTGAGCATCCTGGGCAAGGTAGGCTCCGCTGGGAGAGGAAAGGATCTGGGAGGGGTTAGGGCTGGGGATTGCTTTCAACTGAAACAACATGAATGTGTTTGAAGCTGAAGGATGCAGTAAGTCTCAACCTTTTATTGTTCTCTTCACTACCAGACATGGATGATTGGACATTTGGTATGCTTGAGGTAAGGTTGGGAAGCTTTGAGTGGGCTAGGATCACTCCATTTAACCAGCTATCTCTAAGATCACCAATGACCTCTGTGTAAACCCTTTAGACATTCTGATGCCTGTCTTCACTGACCTTTCAGCAGCCTTTGACACAGTGGACTCCACCTTTATTCTTAGCTTTTGGGACAGCAGTCTTCTCCCTTTCCCCTACCTCTCTCTGGCTGATCCTTCTCAGTCTGTTTGCAGGCTCTAAGACCTGCCTAATTACCTCTCAAATCTATTTACTACTCTTGAGCTCCTTTGAGACTTCCCTAATGCAAGCCTTTGATAATTTCGTGTCTGGATTGCTATCATAACCTTCCAAATGCTCCACTCTCCCTCTTCCAGTCTGTTTTCCTCATGGTCATCACAGTGACCACCATAAACACTAATCTGAAAATGTAACTCATCTGCTTAAAACGTTCAAGTGACATCAGTTTGCTCAGGAATAAGATCCAAATCCTCACAGGATCAACAAAGCCCTGTAGGATCCCATCTGTGTCTGCCTCTCAAATCTCATCTCTGCCCGCTCTGCCTGGCTCTGTGAGCTCCAGCTACATTGGCCGCGTCAGTGCCTCTGGTGTCTCACGTCTTCCCACTACAGGGCACCCTTCACGGAATGCTCTCCTTTCCCTCCATCACTTAGGTAATGCTTGCTCATCCTGCAGATCCCAGCTACAACATTCCTTCTTCAGAGAGAAGCCTTCACTGATTTCCTGGAACAAATCAAATTCCCACATTAGAGGCTCTTAGGATTCCATGTACCTTTCACTGCTAGTAGTTATCACCATTGTAACTTTGTAATGACTTGTGCCATACTCTGTATTAATGTCTGCCCCCCTCCCTTTTCCTGCACTGGACTCTTAGCTTCATGAGGATAGGGACTTTTGATGCTTTTGTTCTTTTGTCCACCATTGTATCCCCATGCCCTAGCACAGTACCCACTTATAGTAGGGCTCAACAAATACCCACTGAATGTATGAATAAATGCATCTTCAGGGATGCGACGTGTTGGAATAGAAAATCTGAGAGTCTGACTTTCAGACTTGACATTGTCACTCACTAGTATCATGACCTTGGGCAAGTCTTTTCATCCTTCTGTGTCTCAGTTTCCTGTCTATAAGGTAGAAATAATAAGACGTGGCCTGCCATGTCACTGGTTTATTGTGAGGATTAAAATAGGTTTAAAAAAGGACTTGACCAATGTTAAAATATGGGGTGATATAATTAACTGTGGCAATTTAGTTAACCCCTATGAACTTCAACTTCTTTCGTTGAAAATGGAGATTTTTTACAGGCCTTTAAACCTACTTTGTGAGGTGGTTATGCAAATGAGAGAAAGGCAATAGCTAGCATGTGGAAAACACTCAATAAGTGTAATACTACTGTATTTTGATTGGTGGAAAGAATGAGGAGTGGATTATGCAAAGTTGGGAAAGAAAGTCAGGGGTTGAAGTTGGTGAGCAGATAAAGGGCAGTATTGGGGAAGAACAGGACCTGAGGCTAAAGAAAATCAGGGAGCATGTGTTGGAGGCCCCAGAAAGCAGGACCTAGATGCAGGCAACTTGAGAGGTAGCTCTTGGGAAGTGACATGATATAATGATAGAGGTGGGACAAGATTCTTTTTTTTTTTTTTTTTTTTTT